ATCCATGTGCAGGTGGTGTGTGGCAGCCCCAAGTCCCTCAATTTGGCCACTAGTTTGTGTGGGAGGATGGTATTAAATGCTGAGCTATAATCCACAAAGAGCATCCGCACATAGCTCCCCTGCTGCTCCAGATGGGTCAGTGCAGTATGGAGGGCTGTGGTTACAGCATCCTCTGTGGATCTGTTCGCTCTGTAGGCAAACTGGTTGGGGTCAAGGCCTCGAGGCAGGAGTGCTGTGATGTGCCTCCGGACCAGTTTTTCGAAGCATTTCATCACCACAGGTATGAGTGCAACTGGCCGATAGTCGTTGGGACTGGAAATATGGGGTTTCTTGGGTAGGGGGACTATGGTGGAGGACTTCAAACAGGGTGGGACAGTGGACTGGGCCAGGGACTGGTTGAAAATCCTGGTAAAGACTCCAGCCAGCTGGTCAGCGCAGTCCCTCAGCACTCGTCCCGGAACGCCATCAGGCCCTGTAGCCTTCCTCGGGTTGATGGCCCGCAGTGTGCGCCTCACCTCATGCTCCTCCACTGTGAAACTTAAGCTGCTGTGAGCTGTGGTGTGGCTGTCTCTGGTGGTGTCACCTCAAAACGGGCAAAAAAGAGGTTCAACTCCTCTGCCAACGAGATGTCACCTTCAGCAGCTCCGAGTTTAGCCCTGTAGTTTAGCCCTGGTCTCATGGAAGACCAAAAGACAGCCTACTGTTGCACTGTCGACTTGTGAGGCAGAGTATATGGCTTTAGCTGCGACTGTAGTGTTTATTTATACAGCAATTGTTAGAAAACATTGATGGTCAGAAATATGAAGCGAGAGTGTATGAGGACAATCAGGGTGCCATTGCTTCAGCAAAAAATCCTGTGTATAGACAGAGGTGTAAACATGTGGACATTAAATTTCATTTTGTGAGATCTGTGATAAAGAAAGGCAGAATTAATCTGGAATACTGTCCAACTGATGATATGGTTGCGGATGTGCTAACAAAACCAGCAACAAAGCTCAAGCTAATGAAATTTAACTCATTTATGTTTGGTGTATGAATTTTGTACTTGTATTGAAGTGATGAACTGGATATTATGAAATAGAAATGTGAGAGCAAGTGGGGGTGTTGAGATTTATAAATATTGTGCTCTCATTTATATTTGATTTATTTTTTATTTTTTTATTCATATTGCAGAGTGTATGTCATGTGACCTAATCAGTGACTGAATGAATGCACATGTGTCTGTTTAAATAAAGTGCGCCAGTCAGAAAGAGATTGGTTGATGTGAAACAGTATTCCCTGTTGTCTGCCTAAGTTACTCTGCCAGACCTGTTTCTCTCTATTGTTAAATGAAATAGATTACTGAAACTCTTGGGGACTCTCGTGAGCTTTTGTCTCAGCAAGAGAGAGTCCTGGCATTCCTGTTCTTGAGTCTCAGTGTTTGAATAAGTTATCACTCTCAGTTTCAATACAGGTTTCCTAAACCTGTATACGAGTTTGCTTCACCTCTATGTAAATCCCTCCCCCTAAATGTATAAATTGCAATGTAAAAATTCCCTTAGTCAGACGAGATTGAGATGCTACAGCGACGCAATAAAGAACTTCTGCTTGAAAGATACCTCAACGTCTCCTGGTCTGCGCTTCTGCACTTTTATACACTTTAGAAGAAAATAGTTCACAACACCTGCAAAGGTATTTAAGAGGACCTATTATGCCCTTTTACAATGGCTTGATTTTGTTTTTAGGGTATACTAGAATAGGTTTTCATGCTTGAATGTACAAAAACCCCACATATTTTACATTGTTGATACTTCACCTCTCTTCCCAGTCTGTCAGTAACGCTCTGTTTTGTACCTGTCTCAATGAAGCCCCTTCTTCCGAAAAGCGCAATGTGCTCCGATTAGTCGGCTGGATCAGTGTGTTGTGATTGGTCAGCCGCTTCAGTGTGTTTTGTAAATGTCACGTCCCTTACCATAACTGTTGCTGCGACCCAATTCGCCTACTTATACTACGCCCTAAAAGTATGTACTCTTTTTGTGAAGAAAAAGTACATACTTTTGAGTGTGTAGCAAAAGAGTAGGCAAGCTTTGGGACATACTACTTCGTCATCTTTAACGGACAGATCTGTCGCGTGCATCCTGTCACCGTAAACTGCCCTGTCAATCATCTCGTCACAGTTAAAATCCTCCATTCAATCTAATATAACTTCTTACCATTTCGGAGAGAATTGTTGTCGCACGTTCATCTGCCAGTCATGGGTCTTTCATGCGGAGACTCTCCTCATGTGTTTGGAATTTGAATATAATAATGCATTTAAAAGTGAATGGCTAAACGTATCTTTGCAAAAGTTCACAATGCTGCTGCAGATGCAATATAATGTGGACAACATTGAATAAATACATTTTCGTCAGGTTAGATACTGACAATTAATCGCTCAAACCCCTTTGTCTAAACCTCTCTACATAACCCTGACATAACCGTCGGACTCTGGCGTCCTCCATGTCTGTAGTTTTTGAACACTTTTCACTTGTGTTTGTAGTTCTAACCGAATCCTCGTCCAACGCGCGATGGGTTGTGGGCAATATCAGCCGTTAGAGTGCGCATCGATCTCAAGGGGGTAATCCATCGACCGGAAGTTGAAGCCGGCCGGGTGCCGCCATGTTGTAGCAGAACTTCACTTGCGTTAGCATTTCCATTGACTCCCATTCATTTTGGCGTCACTTTGACAGCGAATAACTTTACATCTGAGGCGTTTAAAGACTCCATTTGTCCATTATTTATTTCTAAAGAAACACGACAATGTATAAAGTGCTCCATTACCTTCTATGTTACATTATGGCCCCGTAGAAACAGTTTTAGTAAAAATAGGCTAACGATTGCGTCATAACCACGCGACTCTCTGTCGCGCTGTACAGAAATTACCGTACAGACCGGAGGAGAAGCTCGCAGGCAATCGGGGGGACGCCCCGTCAAGGGAGAAGCCCATAGATAATGAGTCCATAAAAGCAACGGAATACTTACTCCTGCTCACTCACGCCAAACAACTCTTTGCTCAAGTTCCCGGTCTCTGCAAGATTAACGTTGGCAATTTTCACGCACAGCTACTAGAAGAGTAACGTCTGTCAGACAGGTTGCTCACGTCATCAAGCTTAGTTTGAGTCGGTTTGAGTCTGCGCGTCAGGAACGGAAGTGCTCAAAAATCGCTAAAAATGGGCTTCAACTGTCTCAACTGAGTTCCAATGAGATAGCTCTGTCCATTTCTTATACTGTCTATGATCGATCTGCACTTCGGATTCTGACCGGATATAGTAGACCATCCGGGTCTCTGTGGGACACTCATTTCAACATACTATGATTTGGGACGTACTAATTCTATTTTCGAATACTATTTAGGACGGATAGTATGCGAATTGGGACGCAGCATGTGTCAATTTCACACCACATACCATCACTGCGTCACAACATAGTATGCTAGTATGTGGTTCTGAATGTGGATGTATGGATGGATTCGGAACTACATACTAGCCTACTCTTATTATTTCTGCCATATAAAGATATGGTAAAAATAGTACGAGTAGTATTATAGTATGCGGTTATGAATTCAGCAAGCATCTCTTTGACATGGCAACAACACATTACTAATGCTACTCAACCACACCTCGCCCCTTTTTTTTCTGCCTTAGGTGGGAATTATAGAATATTGAATTATAGAATATTGTGACATGTTCCCAGAAAAAAACTCAAGACTATACAAAGTATACAATCAAGGTGTTTCAGGGAGTACAGAAACTGTGTTTTCTAATATAGAGAATAACTCATTTTGGAGTGACTTTGTGCTTTGTAACTTCACAGATTTTTTTTCCATACTCAAACAGCAACACACTAACGAAAGTTAAAAATGTAAAAAAAGAAGAAAAAGAAGAGGCAAAACTAACGTATGCCACAAAAAAGGAAAAGAAAACTAACATGTGCCACTACCAAATGTGTCAAAGTAGCACACTCAGACAAGTGACGTTAGTATGCGATTTCACGTGAAAAGTATCTCGCTCTGCCTAATATAAACACTTATAACGGGCTTACCATAGTGAATCAGGGTAAGAAAAAACGCGTTTTGGGAGAACAATTGATGGTGTATTGACTTATTATTCAAATTTCGTTTACTTTGAACAAAAAAAACAAACATACATAGCCTATTTAGGCTACATCGTGCAACTTTAAGGTTTTCAGAGAATGCATTTTATTTTGTAAATAAAGCTCACTAACTGAATTATTTTGTCATGAATGGAGTAAGATTTGAGAATGGAGAAAATATATATAAAAAAAAAGAATTGTAACAATGAACAACTGCACTATTTATGTAAATATTGTAGCTACCTGCACCAAGTCGATAATAAAGTGACAATAACAACGAGGTATCTTGATTCAAAGATTTACTTTCTTTCTTGATTTACACAGTAATCATCAGTGCTGCTTCCCACCTCTGTGCCATTTTAGCTCTGTTCCAAAAACCTAGTGAGCTGCATTGCTGTCTGCTACCTACACAGTCAGCATCCAAACTGAACAGGCAACCATATGAACAGGCATAATTATGAATGTTTCCTGAGCAGCAAATCAGCATATTGGAATGATTTCAGAAGGATCATGTGACACTGAAGACAGGAGTAATGATGCTGAAAATTCAGCTTTGCATCACAGGAATAAATGACATTTTAAAATCAAAGCAGAAACAGTTATTTTAAATTGTTGTAATTTGTTATAATGTTATTGTTTTACTGTATTTTTGATCAATCAAATTCATCCTTGGCGAGTATAAGAAACCTTAATAAATGTCACCGACCCAAACTTTTGAACGGTAGTGTGTAGTGTCTACATACAGTATTGCTTGCATATGGTGTTAAAATTCTAGTCTGGGTAGACTTAGTTCAATTTTTTTTTTTTTACTGAAACATTTCAAGTTGTATATTAGTGATATTAAGACCTGCTATGACAGACTGTATAGTCTGTTGGACTGAATTTATAGCTTGTTGGACTGAATTTATTATACAGAAAGGATCTGTTTAATCAGCACCATCCACAATTATGGGAGCGATGTACTCAGAATGACGAATTCCAAAGGAGAAGCTGGGAGCTTTGGCTCTTGTGAAAGTAACCTGTTGAGAAAGACAAAGAAAATAGTTGTTGTGCAGAAGATGACTGGCTTCTTTGATTCAGATCGTTAGGTAGAGCTCACAGCGGGTGATCGGTCAGAATCACACAAGATGTCTTCATTGAAAGCATTTATTAGATTTACAACTGCATGGTTGAATGTACATTGAGGTGTATGTGTGTGTGTGTGTGGTTCTGAAAACAAATAGAAGAAATAAACAAACAATTAGTTAAATGCAAACTAATGATTATCATGCAACAATCTCTATTTGTATCAACTGTATCCTATTCTAATAATATAGCAGGAATAAAATACAGTAATATTTTAACATAACCGAAACTGGGATTAACAGAATGAAAAAAGGCTGTTCTGTAGATCTAAACAACTACAATTGTAACAATGACAAAGGATAAACCATTCGCAATACAATGACTCCCTCAGCTGGTCACATAAATAACTAAACCAAGCCGCTCCGAAAGGTGTCACGTGATGACCAGTGTATATGCGGGAGGCGCGCGCCCTATAACCGATTAACTGGACTGAAGGCAAATATCGCCGCGATAGCTTACAAACTATGCACAGAAAGTGTTTAACTGGTATTTTACAATGTATAACCAAAGAATAATGCCCGAGTGGCAACTTATACATCAATAGAAAGAATCATCACGACACAAAGACTAGCTGAGCAGGAAAGCCTGAGCTTACATTTAGCAATACTAAACAGACGAAACACTACCAATCTAGCCTTTGCAATGCCGGTAAAAGATCAACAAAATACAGATTCTTACTTGTAAAGACGCACACAGAATAAAGCAGTTGAATCAAGGCGGGTTGTAAGTCCGTGCGGTTCGCGTACACTAGTAGCGTTACTGACAAAACCTCTGACAGAATAATACTCGCGCGCAGCGATCCTGAATCAACTTGTGATTGGCTAAGAGTCCAGGTGAAGCGAGGCTTCTTCCAGTAGGAGAGAGAAAGTCACAGTAAAATATCTGACGCTTAGATTCCACAAGGGGGCCTTTTTTTTTACAGTTGTAGTATACTAATTCTTGTTATTTTAAGCAACAGTAGTTTTAGTAGAGAGCAATTCTAAACTAAAAACGGAATATATATACAGTACACTACCATTCTGTAACGCTCGTAATATGGTGCGGTAGAAGCACGGGAAGGAGGCTGGATCCAAACGCAGTGTACAGGCTTTATTTAGACAAACTACAAACTTAGACAAAGACTCAGACTGGGATACAGGACTCAGAAGAAGCGACCAACGTTGACATCAAACATTCAACAACTCACAAACTTAGGGCAGAAACACAGGGCTTAAATAATCAAGTACAAACGAGCTAACAGGATAACAAGGGGGCGTGGATAATAAGAAACACCTGGGATAACTAATAGACAGGTCAGGGAACCACTGGACATGAAAAGACAAGACAAGACACAAAACCCACATCATGACACATTCACAATTTGGAGTCTGTCAGATTTTTTTTTTGTTTTTGAAAGAATTCTCTTAAGCTCACCAAGGCTGCATTTATTTGATAAAAAATAAACTGAAAACAGATACATTGTGAAAAAACTATTACAATTTAAAATAACTGTTTTCTATTTGAATTTATTTTATATATTAACATTTTATATTCATATATTAAATTTTTTAGCATCCTTACTCAAGCTTTCAGTGCCACATGATCCTTCAGATATCATTCTAATATGCTGATTTTTCATTTTTAATAAAAAATCTCACTGACCCCAAACTTTTCAACCGGTAATGTATAAGTACAGACCCTTTCTGGATGGTGGGCTCCAGGTCCTGGTTTCTTGGTAGTGTCCCCAGGCATGAGGTTGCGACCAGTCATGCTGTATTGAGGGGCCTTGTGTCTGTACACACACGAATCTACTATCTGGTAGGTCCCTGGGCCTGGAGTCTGAGAAAAGGATTGTTATCATCTTTGCAAATACATACTAAGAGGTACATACTGTAATGTGTCCGCACCTTCCGTAAATCTTCGTGAAAGCTGCCAATAGGACTACGACCGCTGAAGGAGACATTTGGAGAGGCTGTTTTATTCACGACTCTTGGCCCTAATACTGGGGGGAGCATGTACGCAGCTGGACCTGGAGACAAGATAATGAACGTCTGCTAACGCATGGGAAACATACCTGTTCTAGTAGTATTGCTGTGTATATCTGTAGGAATCTACCTGGTGTTTGGTCATTGCGGAACAATTTAGTTCTCGCAGAGAGGGAGAACGCAGGGGCCAAGTAATAGGTGGTCTTTATTGCCTTTTCAGGTGAGTAACTGCCTGATTAAAAAAATCAAAAGACAGTTGAACTTTACTGTGCATGTTCTACATTGTTCTACATTTGCACACAGCTACAAAGCCTTGTGTGAAATACCTGGGCCAGGGGTCTGGAAGGGCTGAATATCCTTTCGCCGGCCGCAGACAGAGTACGCAGGGGTTCCGTCCCGACCCACCCTGGTGATGTTGGAGGGAACGAGGAGGTATCCGGGCCCTGGGGAGAAGTTGGCCTGCAAGTCACGAAGGCGCCTGCCAAAGCTAAACGCTGGGCCTTTTTGCATCTGCGGGTCATGGTTGTTCATTCCTATAAAGGGCAAAGAAAAAAAACAAAATTTAGATTTACTGCAGGGCAATAGCTAGGTATTTTGGACCCCTGACCCTTTTTTAAAATAACATTTAGAAATTGTTGAGTGTTCTTAGAATCGTTCCAACCTTTCACCCCATTAGCCCCTGATTTACTGTGTTTATTGTGTGTGTGGCCTAATATCACGTAAAATGTCCTCACTAGTTAAATATGAGGTGCCACGTAGGATTTAAATCATACTTCGCTTATCAATACATGCATAACACACGTGCATATACACCTATAAATTACTCGCATATACATGTATACTATTGGATGTTCAAAATACATATATGAAATACACGTGCACACTAATATGAAATTCATACCAATACATATTATGTTAGTAATGAAATATAAACTTGTGAATAACTTGCATATACATATAAACTTGACGCACGCATACACCTATAAATACTCGCATATACATATAAACTTCCATGCACATACACCTATAAACACTCGCACATACATATACACTCGCTGCACACAGACACACCTATACACACTCGCATATACATATAAACTTCCATGCAGACACACCTATAAACACTCGCACATACATATAAACCCGATGCGCGCATACACATCCATAAAACACTCGCGCATACATACAAAATAAAACGTGGATGCATGCTTTAGTTGTGTGTATATGTATATGCGAGTGATTTCATATGTGGATGTGCGTGAACTTTTCAGTGTAAAAGGAAGTCATTTATTCTTTTTCTTCTTTTGGAGTTTCATGGCGGTTGGCAAACCAGCTAAAAGGTGCATTTACCGCCACCAACTGGACAGGAGTGTGAAGCGTCAACACAGGGGGCGGAGAGATATCACGCAACACCTGAAATAAAGCTTGCCACAAAGAACCTTTCTTTTACTGTCTGAAACATTTGAATGGTTGATAAAGTTCATAAATTGATAAAGTTGACGATGCAGACTCGCCATCTCCGCTGTAGTGAACGCCCCTATAGAGAGAAATGCACACTTCATATGAAGTGTGAACGCGCCGGCGCCTCTGTGTCCTGATTATATTGTCCACTATATTTGCTTCTTATTTATTAATCCAGGCAAATTTGTTGATGAAACATTGATTAAAATGAACATACTATTTATAAAAAAACGAAATAAACTTTAAAGAAAGGCTGTCTACAAAAGAAAACTTTAAGTAAGTGGTCAAAATCATGTCTGACCCATTCCAAATGTTTTCCGATAGCCTATATCTTATGATCCTATCTTACTCATCTCATGCGGTTCCCTTTTCATATAATCAACATAGATGAAATAATAAAAAAAAACATTATATTATTTAAACATAAATATGAAACGTATGTTTAAGTTTTTTAACTTATAAGCGTCACACCACTCCGCTTTGCTCACATGCTCTGGTGTGTAGCCTATAGTAGCCTATATATGCATGTGTGTGGTGGAGGGCTGCGATTTTCAAATAATAATCAAATAATACCCATCGATCTTCGAATATTAGCTGTGCTTGAAAATTTCGTTTTGTATAAATTGTATCTTCATTTTAATCAATGTTTCATAAACAAATTTGTCTGGATTAATAAATAGGAAGCAAATAGAGTGGACAGTGATCACGACACGGAGGCGCCGGCGCGTGAACTGGAGTGCGTAAATGAACCGAAACTCAGCGTATAAACTACTTGCATCACAGACCTGTATGTCTATAGAAAGCTTGAAATGTGTACTTTTAAACAAAACAATTAAAAACTAAAAGAAATTGGCTACTCTCTGCTTCTGCATGTGGCTAATTCATATGAAGTGTGCATTTCTCTCTATAGGCGCGTTCACTACTGCGAAGATGGCGAGTCTGCATCGATTTATGAACTTTATCAACCATTCAAATGTTTCATGCATGATCATTACTTTCGCCGGTTCTTTGCATAGACAGTAAAAGAAAGGTTCTTTGTGGCAAGCTTTATTTCAGGTGTTGCGTGATATCTCTCCGCCCCCTGTGTTGACGCTTCACACTCCTGTCCAGTTGGTGGCGGTAAATGCACCTTTTAACTGGTTTGCCAACCGCCATAAAACTCCAAAAGAAGAAGAAGAATAAATGACTTCCTTTTACACTGAAAAGTTCACGCACATCCACATATGAAATCACTCGCATATACATTTATATTCCCCACTTAAGCATGCATCCACGTTTTATTTTGTATGTATGCGCGTGTGTTTTATGGATGTGTATGCGCGCATCGGGTTTATATGTATGTGCGAGTGTTTATAGGTGTGTCTGCATGGAAGTTTATATGTATGTGAGTGTGTATAGGTGTGTCTGTGTGCAGCGAGTGTATATGTATGTGCGAGTGTTTATAGGTGTATGTGCATGGAAGTTTATATATATGCGAGTATTTATAGGTGTATGCGTGCGTCAAGTTTATATGTATATGCAAGTTATTCACAAGTTTATATGCATTCATTACTAACATAATATGTATTGGTATGAATTTCATATTAGTGTGCACGTGTATTTCATATATGTATATTGTAACATCCAATAGTATACATGTATATGCGAGTAATTTATAGGTGTATATGCACGTGTGTTATGCATGTATTGATAAGCGAAGTTTGATTGAAATCCTACGTGGCGCCTCATAGTTAAAGGGGCTTATACATCAACCTAATCATGTTTATATTTAAATCTAGTGATTTGCACAGGTTTCTATGATGGTTAATTTTACAAATAGAGGTTGTGTTAGGTGATAGAAAACATAATTACGGTAAGTCTATGAGATGTCCGCACTAATAGTGAAACAAACGTGTGTGTGTGTGAGAGAGAGAGAGAGAGAGAGAGAGAGAGAGAGAGAGAGAGAGAGAGAGAGAGAGAGAGAGAGAGAGAGAGAGAGAGAGAGAGAGAGAGAGAGAGAGAGAGAGAGAGAGAGAGAGAGAGAGATTGAGATTGAGAGAGATTAAGTTACCAGTTGCCCCTGGGAGAGAATATATTGGCCCTGGACTGTTATACATTGCAGCGATGGGGCCCCTTGGCCGGTGGGGCCTCCAAGAACCCATCCATACATCCACAGGTGACATGATGTCTGTTTAAAAAATGTTTTTATAGAATTACAAAAATGACTTGTTAAGAAAAAAAACATTACACGTGTTAGCCTAGATAAAACAATAACACATTAATATTTGCATTTTATGATGCAAAGACAGAGAAGCCTTTAACTTCACTACTCTTACAAAATGGTAGATTTGATGACACAGTATGACACTTTTTTTGTAGTTTAGGCAGCTAACGTTACAAGCACTTAATTTGCATTTCTAATTTAATTTGATTAAATAGTCAAAACATGTCATAGAGTTCCTTAACGTTAACCGTATTGTGATAACGTTACAACAAAACATACAAATATACAACAAACTAAGGAAACACAATAACTTACCTTAAGTGCAAAATATTCAAAAGTGCGTGAGTTTAATAGACTTTTCGATCTCCGGATGATTTTGTAAAGAAATATTCGTTTAAAACCACGTTCCTACAAAAAAAGTTCCACTTAGTTAGATAAGAACGATCGAATTGCGATATTACAATATCTGCGCGAAATAACTATATTATTGACATCTAAAAGTAAAATAAAGCCGCCGAAAAGCTCTGATCAGACTTGCAACTGTTTTTGAAGCTTTATACTTGTTTTCTTTTGCATCTCTATGACGCCGTCGCCTTGGTGATTCTTTGATGTCAGTTTGAGTGACATTCCAATGGCAAGAAGTTCACGAGTAGCTGCTCTACATGCCAATCCACTGTAACCCGTGCAGTAGCCTATAATTAATTATTAAACAAACCAAATTCAACAAATGCTCTCCTTAGAGAAGTTTAATACACATACTGTCTTGTCTATAGACCATTACAGACTACTTATACAACACTTAAATAAAACACATCAATTTCAAAGTTACAACCATAAAACGTTTGCCTGCAGTGACCATATAATTATTAGGACACTTAAGCCACACTTAAAGGGATACTCCACCGTTTTTTCATATTAAACTATGTTATTCTCTTATCTAAGACGAGTTGATACATACCTCTCTCGTCTCAGTGCGTGCACTGAATCGCTCTGTCGGGCGGAGAACTTTGAGAGCAGTTAGCTTAGCCCCATTCATTGTATATGGGCCAAACAGAGATGAAGTTAGAAGCGACCAAACACATCCACGTTTTCTCTATTTAAATATAGTTACACGAGTAGTTACACGACCAAGTATGGTGACACTAAATAAAATGTGGCGCTTTTTATATGCAGGTAAAATGGATAACTATAATGTATGGCGGAATAGCACTTATTGGGAGCACTTCGACTCGGCGCTGTAATATCTTCACTCGTGAAAAGTCCTTTCCCCCCTCTCCCTCTCCCTCTCCCTCTCCCTCTCCCTCCGTCAACTCTGCACAAAAAACTACTAGGCTACTGCAGGCGTGCAGGTCACGTTGGTTCTATTGACGGAAATGACAGGGAGAGGGAGAGGGAGAGGGAGAGGGGGGAGAGGACTTTTCACGAGTGAAGATATTACAGCGCCGAGTCGAAGTGCTCCCAATAAGTGCTATTCCGCCATACATTATAGTTATCCATTTTACCCGCTTATAAAAAGCACCACATTTTATTTAGTGTCACCATACTTGGTCGTGTAACTACTCGTGTAACTATATTTAAATAGAGAAAACGTGGATGTGTTTGGTCGCTTCTAACTTCATCTCTGTTTGGCCCATATACAATGAATGGGGCTAAGCTAACTGCTCTCAAAGTTCTCCGCCCGACAGAGCGATTCAGTGCACGCACTGAGACGAGAGAGGTATGTATCAACTCGTCTTAGATAAGAGAATAACATAGTTTAATATAAAAAAACGGTGGAGTATCCCTTTAAAATGCGTGTGAATTCCATTACAAAAGATAACAAAATATTAAACCAACTAACGTGCATGCAAATATGAATGAGTGAATTATGAATGAATAAAGAAAACACGGGCACACTTAGGCCCGTTCACATCAAGGACGATAAGATAACTATACTGCCGTGCAAAGGCAAAAGACCTTAACTTCAATTTTGGTCAAAATGAGTTATTGCCATATTTGGAACAATGGACATCAGTTTTATCATGTGGAAAAATATCTTGCGTCAATTTTGTTCTTTTCTGCTAAAAATAAGATGTTGTTTTTGCCATAACTTCCAAAAGCAGAGGGAAAGCAAAGGCAGAAGCCCTTAACATCAGTTAGAGTCTTTTAGCTTTGTTCCGCTGCACTCTAGAACGCTGCTATTAAGTTACAGTGGAGTTAAGGCACTCTGCCTTTGTATTACCCACCGGCAATGTGTTTGCCGCGCTGAAGTTACGGTGTTATGCCTATATGTAATTGAAGCACTTTTTCCACACGCATTCACATAAATAAAGTGAAAATAAAATTGTTGCAGTGTTTATTTTCTATCTAGCATTAAGAATGTCCTATTCTCGCGGGAAAACTATGGTGGAGATGGCTTTGAAACGCAAACACCAAGATCAAGGTAAGGATGATATGGATACATGAAGAAAAAAATTCTACTTCAGATATTGTGAAATTCAGCTAGGAGACTGGTAGCCTAGTTAGCTAGCTAGCGATGCAAACTTGGGCTAAACTAGGCTACTTGACACACAAAACACACCTGTTCCTAATCCGCAAATAGCCTACACAATAGATGGTGTGCCAGCTGTAAGACACCACAAATCAAAGCCTGGATACTATTAACTAGTACTAGGCCTAGCAGCTACACGTTTTCTCGTGCCACAGGCCTACTGATGGTCCACTCACTGACAGAAAACAACACGAGTGGGTTGGGGACGCCTCGCGATACACCTCCCCTGGCGAGGAGAAAACATTACCACACACACACAAACCAACCCAGCAGATATAACTTAGATCGCAGCTTACCTTCTTTCTTTTTTTTAAACATGGTCAAAATCCATGGAAAACAACATCCACTGAGAAGACAAATCCATTGTTTAAATCCATCATGTTCTGGCTGGCTAGCCTAATTCTATCAAAGTGCAAAGTTGTCCGGAGGTTGACATTCAATTAAATGTCGCTGTGGGTAGGCTATTAGTAGGGTGATCAGACGTCCGGTTTACACCAACCACTATGAAATTGTCCCGGTTAAACAGTTAAAATGCTGACAGCTAAATGGTGTAAAAGTGTGGCTGTATTGTAGAGGATTCCCATAGATATGGAGGATTCCAACAGCGCGACGTACAACAGTATGCCGTTAAAGCCATGAGCTAAGACACACAAACTAGCTAGCACTGTCAAAAAAAAAAAAAAAAAAAAAAAAACACAGACGTGAAAAAAGCTTGCGTAAACTTAAAACGGGTAAAACTCGTGGTGCATTCATGGATAATGTAAAATTGTCGTTTAACATATTCAAAGCTTTCAAAAAATTGTGAGACTTATTCAATATAAATTATTTTGAATAATTGATGTTTTATAAGTCAAACTAACATTTGTACAAATTGCACCAGTATTAAATGTTACTAAAAAAATAAGACTATGACAAGGGAGTACAAATTGTTTCATATGAGTTATTAAGCCTACACTGGTAACACTTTACAATAAGGTTCATTAGTTAAAATTAGTTAATGCAGCCTATATTAGCTCATGAACTAATGAACAAAACATTTGTTACGGTATTTATTAATCTTTGTTAATTAGTTAATAAAAATACAGCTGTCCATTGTTAGTTCATGTTAGTTCACAGTGCATTAACTAATGTTAACAAATACAATCTTTGATTTTAATAACGTAAATGTTGAAATTAATATTAACTAAGATTAATAAATGCTGTAGAAGTATAATTGTTCATTCTTAGTTCATGTTAACTAATGTAGTTAACTAATGTTATCTAATAAAACTTATTGTAAAGTGTTACCCCTACACTGTTACTTGGGTTACTGAATTGTGTACTTCTAAAGAAATTTTATCAGATGTAAAGACACCATCTTGTCTATAATGATAGATATTCATTAGCTGCATGTGTCTAACTAATTTTCTTTTCTAAATTTCAGTTTCTTCCGAGTCCATTCCTGGGGTTAATGCACAAAATGCAGAGAGCATGCCCCCTACGAAACTAGAGGCAAAGGAGTGGACAATTCTTCACAGTTATCTCGACATCAGCGGATTCAGCGATGATTTGTTTTGTGGAGCAGATGAGCTGTTCACCATGAGCACACCAGACCCCACTCCTCTGCCACTAATGACACCAGAGCCTGTGATTGCCCATGTCACGGCCCCCGACCCAGTTCTTCCACCAGTCACACCAGCCTCACCCTTAGCTCCAGAGAACCCACCACTGTCTGTCCTTGTTCCAAACAGTCAAGCACACTCTCCTGCTCCTCCATCAGAGCCCACAAATAGACCACCAATGAGGGGACCATGTGGAGCTAAATGCCGACGGCAGTGCTCTGGAAAAGTTTCAGAAGACATGCGGCAAGAAATCTGGTCTGAGTACTGGAATATGACGTATGCACAGAAACGGGCCTTTATCTTTGCCTCAGTCAGCCAGGTTCCAACGGTAAAGGTCTGTGCCAATCCCAGTCGGCAGCGGAGCAGGTCATTTGTCTACAGGATGCAGGATACCCACAAGACCCCGCAGCAGGTGTGCAAGCTATTCTATCTTTCCACACTAGGCTATCATACCACCAATAATAGCATAGTTCTCTCAGTCATGGGCAAAGCAATAAGAACTGCTCTAGCTCCACCCAACGACATGAGAGGGAGGCACGAGCCTGCCAACAAGCTGGACTTGCAACCATTGATTGACCACATTGAATCCTTCCACCCGTCAGTCAGCCACTACCGGAGGGAGCATGCACCATTCCGGCGCTATCTCCCAAGTGATGTCACGGTCAAGCTCATGTTTGCTGACTTCATTGAAAAAGGGAACCGCTGCTCTTATGAGACTTACCGTAAAACAGTGAAGTCGAAGAACATAAGCTTTACCAAGCTTGGAGAAGAGGAGTGCGAGTGCTGTTTGCTCCAGGACCAGCATGTGAGGGCTGATCACCAGGGGGAGGCTGCAGAAAATTGCCCTGAGTGCGAGAGGTGGCATAAACACCAAACCGAAGCAGTTGAGACCCGACTGTACTACAGGTCGGATGCAGACAAGGACTGGCCTGACGACACATCTGTCAGAAGCGTTGACCTGCAGAAAGTCATCATGCTCCCACGCATGCCAGGTGTGAAGTCGGCAGTGTTTACCCGACGAATATCCACATACCATGAGACCTTCGCGTCAGTGGGCAAAAAACAAAACAAAAGAAAAACCATCTCTGTTGTCTGGCATGAGGGAATTGCAGGGCGGAATGCCAAAGAAATCACATCGGCGTATGCAGCAGCACTAGAAAAAGAACGGGACATCAGGCATGTTATATACTGGGTGGATAATTGTAGTGCCCAAAATAAAAACTGGTGTCTGTTTTCTTCACTGCTGACACTGGTAAATTCTGAAACAATATCAGCTGAAGATGTCACTTTGAAGTATTTCGAGCCAGGACACACCTTCATGAGTGCCGACAGCTTTCACCATGGTGTGGAACAAGAAATGAGGCACAGACCTGGAGGAGTGGTTTTTGATTTTGATGACTTTTTTTCAGTGGTGGCCAATTCCAACTCTAGGAAAGTGGAGGTGGTGGAGTTGAAGAATGATAACATCAGGGCATGGAAGGATGGCCATTCTGCAGCCAAGACAAAAAAAATGCCCAGGCTGGCTGAACTCAAAGTGGTACAACTGCGACGTGGGTCAAGGTCCATGTTCGTGAAGAAATCCCATGGGGAGGAGGACTTCATAGAGCTGGACTTCCTGCAGAAGAAGTTCAATCCCTGTATACCAACCACCTTGAGGCCGCAAGACTCGGGTGTGGAGGAGGCCAAGAAGACGGAGATCCTAAAAAATCTTGTTCCCCTCATGCCTCCTACCAGGAGGTTTTTCTGGAGCTCCTTGGCAGTCAGAAACCTCAATGAGGTTGAAGAATAGGGATAAATTAAGCCCCTCTGCCCTTCTGTGGACTGATTTCCGGACTCTTGTGATTCTCTCTCTCTCTCTCTCTCTCTCTCTCTCTCTCTCTCTCTCTCTCTCTCTCTCTCTCTCTCTCTCTCTCTCTCTCTCTCTCTCTCTCTCTCTCTCTCTCGCTCTTACACACTCACACACACACACACACACACACACACACACACACACACACACAAAACATCAACATTATTCATTTTATTCACCTCTTAACATTCTTTCGTTTCATTTTCTTGTTAATTTAATAAATTTCTTAAAATCAGTTTGTTGTTAGACTCCCTTCTTTGTAAACTGTCATATACTGACTATATCAAGACAATCAATCCTAATCACATAAAATTTGTGAGCGAGAACTGTTAGTCTGTACATGCATGTGGTACTAAATACATTTTCCATTCTGTCCAGGAAAATGTATTAATACAGATTTTTTCATTGATTCTGGAAAACATACACACAATGTCATCAGATATAAGCATATTCCTATATGTTTTGCCAGAAAAGGGTGAATGATATTTGAGAAAGGGTGTCTACATATTACTGGCATAGCCAAATCAAACCTTTCAAATGTAAGAAATATTTGTGGAAGGTTACTTTAACGGTACCTATTAAAGTGTTATTTTACTTAAATTAAGTACAACGATCAAGGTTTAAAATGATCCAGTACATATAATAGCCTTCTCATTTTTTATTTTGTAATATTCTATTGATGTAATATTAAGCCTTACTAGACAGAACTCACTAAATGTTATTTTAAGGCTATCATTGTTATCATAGAAATGTTTGTATAGAGTGATAAAAGTCAAAATGGTCAATAAATTAGAAGTTAAGGTAATTTGCATTTGTATGACCCATTATTGTTTCGCAGATAATGCAAAGGCAGAATACAGTAACTTCCAAATAAGGGTCAAAGGTCAAGTTTAAGCTCACATTTTTTTTAATGTAGATAAATATATTCATTATGACAACTACTTGGCAAATTTTCAGTGTCCTACCTATCAGACAATTGGCTGGACAACAAAAAAACTTTAAAGTCATTTTTCTCAGTTTCACACTCTGGTGAGTTAAGGTCTTTTGCCTTTGTAGGGCAGTATAAAGATAACGATAAAGATATATTTCTAAAAATCGTTCTCAATATAGTATAGCAGAGTTCAACGTCACAACATAGCTATAATGATAACAGTAGAAACAATTTAGTTGGAATCACTTTCAGAACGATTTTATCCAGCTAATGAACGATAAAAACATTGGCAGCCAATCAGAATCCATCCTGCTGTAACAAGCTCTATCGTTTAAACTTTAAAGTGACAGACAAGCACGCGCTTAGAATAAACAACACTATAGGCTATCATCCGATGATGTGGATGCTAATATCTTCATAGTTATCGTTCTTGGTGTGAACGGGCCTTAAGGTTAAACAGTTCACAAAAAAATATATAGGCCTAAAAAAAAAATTCAAAACAATATATAATAATAATTCTGCAGATGCAACTAGGCTTGATATTTTGCTAACTAATGCGAAACAGAAAAATGTTATAGGCTATGTATGTGATAAGTGTTTAAATGCTTTTGGGGACAACTGTACACATTGAGATACATATCAATTAACTTGATCAGTCATACAGTTAATGAAACAATATTTCTTTATGGATATCTTTTTTTAGTTTAACCCTGATGGTGTTGCAGTATTTGGATGGTGGTTGTGTAGGCACAGCTCTCTCATTGAAGCTCTGAGGACGAGCAACAAGATGCTGTTTCTCTCTATTTCCTCAGGAGGGCGCTGTTATAACACAAAAACATGCAAAAGTTTGTATAATCCGTCTCCAATTACTGCTGTTATTTATTTGCCATCTTTATTTGTGAAAATTAGCACATGTACACACAAACTTACTCTTGTTAATGCTCGAATGAGTCTCTGTAGTATAGCATGTTCAAACTGAGGACATTGAACCACCACATGACCCACACAATCCAGCAAACAGCAGATGGTGTGCCGCTGAGACTAAAACAGCACAGAATTATAACCACACAAAGCTGTATAAAATTAGATAAATGTCTTATATGTATGATGCACACTTGTAACTATACAACTGATTACTTTCAATGCTTTTTATGCTTACAAAATGTATATTTACTACATGTATTAAGTCACACACACAATACAGTTCAACATCAAATTGTGTGTTTGTTGTAGTGTGTTCTGTCAAGGGAGGCCAGACTCAGTTCAGACATTCACCTTGTGAAGTGTGATAAGGGAGTTTTGTGCAGGCCAGGTTGAGGTCAGCCTCTCTATGTCATCTTTATTGAGAACAGGCTCCTGTTATAAGAAAGCACACCAGCTAAACTATTGCATTTTGAAACAGTGAGAAAAAACTTTGTAAAAAAAAAAAAAGTTTTTAACAGACATGAATATATTATCTGTCATTTTTATCACTGACATAATTTTGTGCCAGAACTACCATACTGTGACCTCTGACCTTTAGTCTGTCCAGCCAGGTCCATAACAGTGTGCTCAGAACGTCTGGATCTGTTTCCATGACTAATGTAACCCAGCCACATTCACTCAAGTTGAGCTCATCCTGCAGAGAATTAAAAAGAGTTCAAATCTTTTACATACCACAATATTTACTCACTGTAATTTCTTTTATTATTTACAACTGCAGCCACACTGTAAAAAAAAAAAAAGAAGTTGTTGCCGTAAAGGTGCTATATGTAACTTTTCTTCTAAAATGAATAATTTTTTTATTGCTTGTGTGTGAAGGGGTTGTAATCACACATTACAATGATCCACTTTTCGGGTTTTGCTATTACCTCTGAAGGCCAGTATTCCTATTTCTATGTGAAGTCTCTAGGTCGGATTTTCTGCGAAATCCATCGGATGTGACGTGCATGCGCGCTCCCGAGCCTCTCTCCTTTTTATTTACAGTCTATGCGACGGCACTGTAACAACATGGAGTCTGATAACACCAGAAAACGACCTGCCTCCAGCACAACAGACTCAACACAAACTCCACATAAATATAAAAAAAAAAAAAAAAAAAAATGTATCTGCTGAAGCTCGTCAGGCCAAACGTGAATCGGATCGACTTAGGACCAAAACACGGATCAACATCGGCAGAGCGTTTGATTTATGGAGAGACCTCCGCTATTTTTATTGTAATAAATTACAAGTTTTCAGATATGCTGAAAAAATGGTAAACTGTAATAAAATAGCAAGGTAAACTACAACATACATGAGACATGAAATTAATACAAAAGACTGTTCCAGGATAACAAAAAGTGGGTGCTTTAGGATGTAACTTTTATTTTATGTACTAGATCTACTGTCTAACGTCACTCATCCCACTACGATCATATTGTTTATAATACACATTTCCAGACACGTTCAGTACAGTAATGTTACTTCCTACGATCTTACTGTTACACTGAAATTGTTCAGTCTAGTCACTAACCGTTTTCGTTATCATATTATACATTCACCTATGTTGACATTGCTGATTGTGAAAGATACACGAATAGTTAGTGAAACACCACATGTCGGCTAAATGCAGTCAGTAGCCGTGTTTCCACTGCCGGGCCAGGGCCGAGCCGTGCTAGTGCGTGCCAGAGCCAGTCGCGTTTCCACTGTCACTTCCGGGGCTTGATCGGGGCTTACTCGGGGCCAACGGCCAGGATTTCTGGCCCGTCGAATACCTTGGGCCAAAGCGGGCCAGCTCGGGCTAGAGGCGTGGGCAAGGTAAAAGGCGGAGTTTATCGGTGTTATGGAACGTTATGATCTGAAGCAAGATGCACATTTCACTTTTTTATATCACGCAAAATAATCACTGCTCGAAATGGAGAATCGCCTGTACTGGTCTGTAGAAGATACCAAAGCTCTTCAGAGCATTTGGGCAGAAGAAAGGGTACAACGTAAATTTGACTTTCTAAGCTGAGAATTCAGCGAGCAACGCTTCAAGTTCAGGAAAAAATTAAAAAGTTGCGGGTGCAGTATTGTACAAGGTGATTCAAACGCAAAATGGACAAAGCGGAACTCAGAGAGGGAACTTTCCATGGTTCGACTTGATGAACGTGTGCTGGGTCACCGTCCCTCTGTTAGTGGCGACTCGCGAGACAATCGGGACACTATTGCAGCCACGGCCGGTGAGTTAATATACATGCTGTCTTCCTAACTTAAAAAATCAAATTCATAATACCCGCTGAAATGGGTTGGGTTGTATGACGTTTGATCCAGAAAGGCGTGTTGGGGGCGGGGTTTAGGGCAGCGCTGCGGGGCTACTGGCCCAGCAGTGGAAACGCAAGCCCGGTGCTTAAGGCCCGAGGCCACTGGCTCGGCTCGGCTCGCTGTTAGCCCTGGCCCGGCCCTAGCCCGGCAGTGGAAACGCGGCTAATGTAACGTTATCATGGTACGAGCATGGAGCATAGTTCAACGTCAAGCTGTAGCCTATTATTGTAACGTTGCAGTGGGAGTTTACATGAGTTTCCAGCATGTTGTGTGTTGTGCCGAATTTGGACCCCCTGCCAAATTATTACGAAATTCGGCACAACACCTGTACCATGAGTGCTCGCTCTTGTGTTGGAGCACGCGCAAGAGCAAGAGCCAACTTGTAAAAATTGGTTGCAATCTGAAACATCACCGATAGAGGCCGCTAAAAAATACATATAGCACCTTTAAATTTTTTAAAACAATCAACTTTGATGTTTGTCATTTCAACTTAAATTACATTATACATTGAATCTTGTACAACTTCTAAAAAAGGTGAAAATTGCTTTACTTATTTTGATGAGTTAATGTAAAAAATGTCATAACTTATTTGTCATATAATTTTTTACAGTGCAATATGTAATTTTAAAATATTTTGTTATACAGACACCCAGACAGAATAAGGAGACAACAAGATAGATATAAAAAAATTGTCAGTATGGTTATCTGAGTGATTTTAAAGCAAGAAAGTTTATAGATTATATACCATGATTTTAAAAAAATGAATCATTGCTCTGTATACAGTAATTAACTGTACGTGAAATGGATGCAGTCGTATGGCCAATAAAGGGAACCTTGGAAACATGATCATGCTTTGCAGTGTTCCTGCATGGATCAAAATGTTTTGTCAGTCCTGTAACTAACAAGGCTATGAATTCAGGAACATATTTTGCTTGTCAAAATCAAGCCATACATACTATACCTGCAAGCCCGCTGCTCTTTTCAATACAGTGTCCACTGGAGGACGCTGTTGTGCCATTGCTTTAGCGACAGGTCTCGATAATGACGACTGATCTAATGTATGATCCTCTCGTCCTAACTTAAAAAAAAAACATCCACAACTTTTGCACAAATTAAAAGTAATACAAAATAAAAGTTCTCAAAACCATTCAGGCAGTGATCTTATATGCAGTGAAAAAACTGCAGACATTTTAATTAGTTTCACACTGACCTCGAGGTTTGAACTGAACTTTAGGAAAACTTGAGGTTTCTTGGTTGTACATTTTGTCTTCTTGTTCACAGTCTCATTATATGAGTGAGGAGCTGATGTTCCATTGCTTTGGTCTGTCATCCAGATATAAGGAATCTTTTGGGATTCTGTTAGGATTCTCTGATCTTTTGATGGGCCGATTTCTCCATTGCTCATTTTATGGTGTCCACCAGATTGAGGAGAGTAATGTGAGAACATGAAATCCTTGCAGAGACAAGATTTCAAATGTCATTTCATTTTCATAAATTATGTGTTCATAAACAATTCCTGTGATGCAAAGCTGAATTTTCAGCATCTTTACTCCAGTCTTCAGTCACATGACCCTTTAGAAATGGCAGCCAATTAACATTATCATCAATTTTAAAAATTGCTGCTTAATATTTTTGTGAAACTGATAAACTTACAAATAAATGCTGTTTTTTAAACTTTCTATTAATCAAAGAATCCTATATATATATATCACTGTTTCCATAAATATATTTTTCCCATAAATATATTTTTAAAACAGAAAAAATATTCAAAATTGATAAGAACTATTATTGGTAAGTGAGCACCAATAATTGATAATTCAGCATAAAAGCAGCATATTAGAATAATTTAACAATGATGATCATGTGGCACTGAAGACTGGAATAATCACACAATAAATTATATTTTAAACGATAAAACTGTTATTCTAAATAGCAAAAATGTAAATAATAATTCAAAGAAAAATTTCCAACATAGGTGATAATGTGGGTGCATTCAGTCCTGAATTGATTCATCGGATTAAAGCTGCTGTAGGTAACTTTTGTGAATTTCTTTTTTTACATATTTTTTAAAGGGGTCATATAATGGTACATGCACTTTTACAAGTTGATTGTACTGAAATGTGTGTTGGCAGTGCCTGTACACAACCATCATAAAATGATAAAAATCCATCCAGTGTTTTTGTTTTAATCTCCTTATATGTTTTCCCCTGCCTCAAATTGAGCCGTTCGATTTTGTGACGTCACACGCTCGGAAGCCCCTCCCACGATTGTTGATTGACAGCAGCGTTTCAACACAGACCCGCCCTCGTTGGTGAGAGCTGTCAATCATAGTCTGCGCGGACCGGCGCATTCATTGTTGATATGCTGGAGCAAATGAGCAGAATGGCGTCTAAGCGATTGTGGTGTTCTGTTCTTGGGTGCAATAACGAACACAGCAGTCACAGGGGGGGGGGGGGGGGGGGTTAGAAACCAGTCCAAACCCAGTTAAAGATAGATACAGAAACTGGGAAGGAGGGGTTTGCGAAAACTGTATGAAATGTTGATGCTTTGTGAAATCAACCAGGTCTTTCTTTTCCAAGCTGGGTGGCTGTGGCTTGAGAAAAGAGTCCTCAGAAGAATAAACCTTTTCTCTTTATTACAATTTGCCTCTTGGAAGTTTCTTACACCTTTTGATGCTGTTTTTATTAACGTCTGAAAATTGCTGTTACAACAGTTTACTTCTAGAACAGGTACAGGCAGGCAGGATAACAGCCAGGAACACGCACACAAAACACATCTAACTACGACTAACTACTGACAAAGAGTGACAGAACTGAAGGGACTAAATACAGACATTGATTAGTGAAGACAGGTGACACAGATGACAATGACGAAGAACAGGTGGGTGATTGAGGGAGTGAGTTCAGGTGTGGAGACAAGGAGGATTCTGGGAAGTGAAGACGACGACAGAAGGTGCAGACGATGACTGTGACAGCTGGCTTATACTTTCATTTTGTATTTGTTTATTTATTATTAAACTTGTTGAACGTTCGCCGGTTCCCACCTCCTTCTTCCCATAACAACTGAACCCCGTTACAAATGTACTAGCAAACCATCTAGCATTAGGCTTACATATCGCTAGATTAATTCAGAGGTGGAAAGAGTAATAAAATATTCTACTCAAGTAAAAGTAGCCTACTACTACTTCAATGAAATTTTACTTAAGTACAAGTAAAATTACCGGTCTAAAAATCTACTCAAGTAAAAGTAAAAAGTAGCTCATTTAAAATTTACTCAGAGTAAAAGTTACTGAGTTACTTTTTTAACAGCGGGTGGGGGAATCCCCCGTGTAGGGTTGTAATGGTAGGAGATTTTCACAGTATGATAATGTCTCAGAAAATATCACGGTTTACAGTATTAATCAATTATTAAATAAATAAACGGTATTATTAAATTATGGTTATTATTATTATCATCAGTTAAAATGACAGTTAAATGAATGAAAACATGTTTTTTTTTGGTTGAACAAATGCTTTTACTATAACAAACTTGAAACCATTTGTTTGTTTTGTTTATTAAAATTTCAATAAAACATGTCTAATCGATTAAATTCAACGATTGATAATGAATTAGATTAACAACTTATTTTTAACATTAATAATTTATTAAAATGTTAAAGAATAATATAGTGTGGGAGCCATTTGCTATTGTTGATGTAGTGGTGGTGGTCAACACTAGAGGGCAGTGTGCTTGTGCTATAGTAGCGAAGGTCACGGTGGCACAGGCGCGCCAGCTGATTTAATGCACAGGTGTAGCGAGGGAAAGTATGCTAGGGTGGCGGGGAGATCACACGGTTTTTACCGCTGGCACGCCACAGCTAGATTAGTCCTCACGTTTGCATATACTTTGAACTCTGTAAACCATCTTTCTATTAAATGGGAACATCACCCAAAGACGCTAAACGTTGTGGACTTCAAATTCATCTGAAGTGGACAAACAGCGCGTCAAAAACAGGATCTAGCCCTCACCCTGCCGAGTGTCTGATTTGCGTTAAGACAGTCACTACACAAGTAAAAACCTCGATCTCGCTGAGATGTCCTGGAGGAAGAACAAATGAAAAGCTGGTTTCGTTTGGATACGTTGGTGTGTTGCCTAGGCAAACTAAAAGGCAATAGTCGACATAGCGCAATAACAAGGCTCGTGAATCTTACAAAGTAATCTGTTGAAAATGAGTGACACACAAGGCAATGATGAAAATAAAACTACAGAGTTGCAACGTGAGGGTAGCGAAAAAAGGACAAGAAAGCCTACCGCTAAAGGAATCGTTATGATAATTGAAAGACTTCAAAAGGAAAGAAGTATGATTTTTTTAAAAACAAGCAAAATAAAAGCGGACATCGTCCCGTTTTTGGTTGAAAAGGTTCCTGCAAATGTGACAAGCGTTCAACAAAAGCTAAAAGGGTTTAAGTCTCTATGTCAAAATGCCTTTGATCTTCACAACACATTGCTCAATGAGTTTTCTCTGCCTGAAGAGGAACAGAAAAGACAGGAAGAATGGTTTCAGTCAAAAAGGTCCGTTAATGATGCCTTTGTTGAGGAAGTGTATAAATGGTTGAAGGAGATGGGAGCTTCATGTGATGATGAAAATGTGAATGATGTCGCTGACATTGTTGATGATGATGATGATGATGACGATGATGATGATGATGATGGTGATGGCCAGGGTGCACAACGAAAGGTGAAAACCAAAGATGCTCAATCTGTGTGTCAAGATGACATTGGGCCAGGGGACAGTGGCCCTCATTTATCAAAAGTGCGTACACCAAATTTCCAGCGTACACCTGGCGTACACCCAAAACCACAGTGACTTTGAAATTTATCAATATGGACGTTGGCGTATGGCACGCTCAAATCCTACGCCAGCTCAGGAGGTGGTGTACGCACGTTTTGAGTTAGTGCGGAAATGCGCAGAAAAACAATTCCTAACACCACAAAACGCACTGACAAACTAAAAGATATGATATATTATGACCCACTGTAAAACAAAAAAACAAAAACATAGTAATTATTTACTTCAGTGTTTATTTTTGTGCAACATGGACTTCAATGTTTAATTTGTGTGACTTTACCAAAGCATTTGATTTATAAGCGTATTCCTTCAGTTGCGAGCCTGTGCGCTTTACCCTGACGTTTCATGGTTAGGATCGGCAGGTGCGCACGGACTGAGTTCGGTAACGAAAGGCTTTCAATGACCAACAAATAATTCAGACTGACAAAATAATAAAAAATACATTCTTCTTCTTTTAAATAATAATAATAATACAAATAATAATAATGACATTCTTCTTCTAAATAACAATAAGCGTCATTAATAATACAAATCATACTAATAATAAGAAGCATATTACAAATTGTCATGCAATTATTAATGTGAATGAATGGTAGGCCTACTCCACATCACATCATCATCATCACTATTGTACACACCAATACATGTAACGTGATTCGAAATTGAATACTAATTCAGAAGACGTGCTGTAAAATATTGCATTGTGATAGGTCATTTCGCCTCCACGTCAGAGAAGTTTCTCTTCTTTGCCGTCTTCCGTGTGTCCATGGCGTAAAATCAGGGCGTGGGGGAAGCGGAGACTTGAATATATAGGGGCGTGTTATTCTAATGACGATCGTCTTTAGCCGCGGGATTTATCAAGGGCAGGTATTGCGTACACCTGGATTTCAAAGGTACGCACAGCTTCATAAATCAGGCGGTGAGAGGAGTGTAAGCATAATCTTACGCCAACATATACGCTTGTTTCTACGCAAGAATGATAAATGAGGGCCAGTGTGTCTAATGTGTCCAGCAAAAGATCAAGCAAAAGAAGCCATGGCAGTTCCAGTACATCTTCCGCACGGTTAAAGGCAAAGGCAGAAAAGGCAGCTTTGATGGAGAAGGCTGCTGCTTTACAAAGGAAGCATCAGCTCGAGGAACAAGAGGAGGAACTCCGATTGGAAAGAGTCAAGCTGAGGAAAAGAAAGGAACAGTTGGAACTTGATGCACAAATTGCTATGGCTGCTGCAAGGCTTTCAGTGCTGGAAGGCAGTGATGTGGGAATGGCTGCATCAGATGGAATGAACTCATACGTGAGTAAGGCATGTAAAGGGCAAAGTCTTGAACTTAATCCAAACGCAAGCATTTATGTTCCTAAACAAAGCACAATGGCTACAAAACCAACCTCAAGAGAACCACCTTTGTCTCCTGTGCATGTCAAGGACCCCTTTGCACGCTCACAGAATCACGAACGGCGTCGTGTCATATCATCAGCAAGGGATAGCACTTTTAGACTGCAGTCACAGCCACACAATGGAATACATGGTACTGGCCAACAGCATCGGTTTGAAAATGTTCCTACAACCTTAGCAACTGTGCCTGCTGGATCAGTAGCTGCACAAGAACAGCAATTGCACAGGCTTCAGCCAGCACAGAACACTCCACCAATGCAAAGCACTGTGGACCGGAATGCCATAAGTGGAATCTTGCAAAAGCAGAATGAGATTACAGCAATGCTTGTGCAGCAGCAAATGTCATCAAGTTTGCCACAGAAAGACATTGCCATATTCGATGGGGATCCATTGCAATTTCTTTCATTTGTTAGAGCTTTTGAACACTGTATCGAGGGGAGAACTAGCAGCTATCAAGACTGTCTGTACCTGTTAGAGCAATATACTACAGGGCAGCCTAGAGAGCTGGTTCGAAGTTGCTTACATATGTCATCGCAGCAAGGATATCAAAGAGCAAAAGGTCTTCTGAGAGAGCACTTTGGCAGTGAACAGAAGATAGCAACCGCCTACATGGACAAGGTGTTCGGATGGCCTATCGTAAAGGCTGAGGATGTTAAGGCATTGCAAGAATTTGCACTTTTCCTACGAGGCTGCTGCAATGTTATGACTGAGATACAATGTATGGAGGAATTGAATATTCCATCAAATATGAAGAATGTGATAATGAAATGGCCGTACAGGCTGCGGGACAGATGGAGATCTATGGCCTGTGAGCTACAAGAGCGACGAGGCTATCGAGCCACCTTTCCTGATATGGTGAACTTTCTTGAGACTCAAGTCAAAATCTTGTCTCATCCGCTTTTTGGTGATATTGCAGACACACAAGTCAGATTTGAAAAACTACTTAAAAAAGTAAGTAGACCTGTAGACCTCTAGACCTGCGCGTTCACGGCAGGCTCCGCTGTGGGGGAGGAGCTGTGGAGGAAGGGCTGTAGCGCAGCAGAGAGCAAGGGGGTGGGACCTGTAAGTTGTGCTTGTTCAAATTTTCAGGCTAAGTCAACGTTTTCTCAAAACTCCCTACTGCAGCTTTAATTCCACTTTATGATAAATGTATTTTTATTTTCTGAAATTGCAAAATACAGCAAATCTTACTAAAAAAATTATTGGCTCTCACCTTAATGATGGTAATCTTGCTGAGATCTGATTCGCTGTAGCTTCGCTTGTTTAGTAGGACGTCTCTCTTCCTCTCCAAGAACCCGAATGGCTCGTCCCAGGACTTGCAGGAGAACATTCTGCTTGAGCCTCGCCTTTCCTTCAGAGCAGGAAGGTTCCTCTTCAAAAGTGTCTCCTTCACTGCCTTCTTTAGAGCCAGAATGTTCACCCTCTTCTCCAGTTCTCTCTGGACCTCTGGAGGACTGGAAGCTCCCTGGGTTAAAGTGATCAGCATGCTGCAGAGGACGTGCAGGATCTTGGGTGTGTGTTTGAGTGTTCGAGCCTCTTCCCCGTGCAGCAGAAGAGCCTGACGCAGGAGGTACTGCCGAAGACTGAAGGAAGAACCGTGGCGCACGTTCAGACACGGGAATTGGGCCAGCTGAGAGCTCACCACCCGGGCGAAATCAAACACCAGATTGATCTGTGATCGAGTCTGGATTGAACGAGGCCTTTTGATCCGGACGTAGTGGACAGCTTCACTAGCGCTGATTCGACAGGTGTAGACTAGATAACATGCGATAAGAACACCTGTAAAGCAGGACGGATATTAAAGAGAATAGAATGTCACTAAATTTACATTGAAAGTAATGATGTAGAAATTGCAACTTGCCTGTCCTGCCTAATCCAGCATGGCAGTGAACTGCCACCTTCCCTTCCTGCACAGAGAAAGCCAAAACCTTCACGGCATCCACCATCCCCTCCAAAGAAGACACTCCAAAATCAGACATCCCAAAATTATAGAAAAAAACTGTCAGACAAAAAAGGAATATAATTCAGTAATTCGTCAGCTAATTTATGGGGTGAATCTCAAAAGGAACATTCAGGTCATATTTCAAACACAATATTAAAAGAAAAGAAAAAAGATTTTGAATGACATTCATATATTAGTAGGACCAATACATATTGTATATGTTTGCATTGAGACATAATTTTCATGATAACATATTCTATTTTATAATATGTAAAGTACCATTCAAAAGTTTGGGTAAGATGCAGTAAGTTTTTTAAAAATATATATAAATTAATACTTTTATTCAGCAAGGATGCATTAAATTGCACGAAACTGGCAGTAAAGACATTTATAATGTAAAAAAATATTTAAAATAAATCCTGTTATTTTACACTTTCTATTAATCAAAGAATCCTGAATAAATTATCAGTTTCCACAAAAACATTAATCAGCGCAACTGTTTTCAACATTGTTAATAATGAGAAATGTTTCTTGAGTATAGCAAAATTAAAATATATATATAATTTAATCATTTTTATAATTTAAAGAAGGGGATAGGTATATTGTATGTATTATGGTAATACGAATTATAAGTTGCAGAATGCAAAACATATTACTTTAAAATATTTCTTTCTTTCTTTTTTGTTCTTGACAGGTTTTTGCATGTGTTTGGCTCACTTTGGCTGTCCATAAAGACCTGAGGTGAATATGTGAACCCACTGTCAGGCTCCAGAGGAGGGCCGCAGTGAGCATGTTCCCCTGGGAGCTGCATATTAATGATGGATTTAATGTTCAACCTGTAAGCACACACACACTGCCAATTATTAACCAGAAACATCCCCCTGCAGAGTGTAAGTAAATATTAAACATCTGTATTATATAACACTCACTGTTTGAACTGTTCTATGATGCTGTATCTCTTGATGAGGTATGTAGAAGGTCGTGCCATTGCAATAATGTCATCCGTCACCCTAAATGCAAAGTGAAGTGATAAATAAACACATGCAGTGAATATGTGCATGGCTATGTAAGGAGGATATTCTATAAAGCAAAGAAAGCAGGAAATTATAAATTAGGACGCAGTGTGACCATCTTGATCTTTTAGATCTTCTAAAGATCTTCTAAAGTGACATTATATATTTATGCATACATACAAATTCGTGCACACAGTTGCAATCAAAATTTGTTATACCCTCTTGACCTGCAAGACATTTTGCTGCCGAGAACAACATTTCAAACAATTCAACAAAATCGCCTTTCAGTAAACTATTATAGAAAGTTAATTTGTAGAAGATAGAATAGAAAGTAAAGAACGTAAAGTTGAATTCAACTCCCAAAAGTCAAATGTTGTGCAGAATCATTGTTCTTTATAATCTCCAATAAACAGCATGCCTGTAAGTGCTTAAAGGAACACTCCGACTTTTTGGGACTTTAGCCTATTCACCTTATCCCCCAGAGTTAGAAAAGTCCATACATACCTTTTTCATCTCCGTGCGTGCTATAAGTCTGTTTGACGCACCCACCGCTAGCCTAGCTTAGCACAAAGACTGGATGTAAATGGTTGCAGCTAGCATACTAATCCAAATAAGTGACAAAATAACGCAAACATGTTTCTATTTACATGTTGTGATTTGTATAGTCACAGACTGTACAAAAAACAAAGTCACATGAGACACAGACATATTTTAACCGTATAAATACTGGGAACTATATTCTCTGAAGGCGACTATATATTTTCTGAAGGCGAAACACTGCTACTTGGGCGGAGTGATAACCGCAGCACCTGAGACGCGCCGTGGTGAGGAGCAGAGAGCTCTCAGGTGCTGCGGTTATCACTCCGCCCAAGTAGCAGTGCTTCGCCTTCAGAGAATATAGTTCCCAGTATTTATACGGTTAAAATATGTCTGTGTCTCATGTGACTTCGTTTTTTTGTACACTCTGTGACTATACGAATCACAACATGTAAATAGGAAAATGTTTGCGCTATTTTGTCACTTATTTGGATTAGTATGCTAGCTGCAACCATTTACATCCAGTCTTTGTGCTAAGCTAGGCTAGCGGTGGGTGCGTCAGATAGAGTTACAGCACGCACGGAGATGAAAAAGGTATGTATGGACTTATCTAACTCTGGGGGATAAGGTGAATAGGCTAAAGTTTCAAAAAGTCGGAGTGTTCCTTTAAAAGCTTCTGTCACCTCTCTACTGCAATCGTGGCCCATTCCACGCTTAAAAAGCTTCCAGATCACTGATAATCTTTGGTTTTCACCAAGGGCGTAGGTTTAGGGGGGGACGCTAGGTACTAGTCCCAATCAATATTTTGAGATGACAAATTTGTCCCCACCAATATTTAGCAAGCTCCTTTGAACTGCTATTTTGATATTTGCGCTGCATTTGGATCGATTCCAACGGCCAGGACGACGACAGTACAAGATACGCCGTAATTTGATTGGCGGCGGGGTATCTGACAGGCAGGCTACACGCGCGGGCCGGGACTACTTTTTGTGCTTGCACTCACTGGCAGCGAGCGGGTGGTGACGTGTGTGTGTGCGCGCGTGACGACGCCGACGGTAAGTTACCAGGGCTGTCTCTCTGCCTGCCATATACAAAGGCCAGAGTAAAACATTTTAATATTCCGGTTTTTTGCCCCTTTTTGTACTTTGTAGATCAGCTATGTCACCCAAGAAGAAGAAAGGGGACATACGAAGCTTTTTCATAAAGCAGAGTGTAAGTAGGCAAAAATAACTAGCAGTAGTAGTGACTGACCAGGCTTTCAAATGCAGATTCTAGTGGAAAATAGTATTAACTGGTGATCCTGGTTACCCAGGATATTGTTACAGTTAAACCTAGCTTGAAGCTTCTGCAATCTTTCAAGGTTAGGAGCATTAATTAGGGGTGTGCAGCACAGATAGACTCATAGAAGTCGCACTATCATGATAGAATGCTATGTTAGCAAGTCACTGAATGTTAATTAGCCTACCTTAACTTAGAATCTTGCCGTCATAAACAGTGGATCATCTGAGACATTTTTCGTTTCTACATTCTGTTTATGTAATGTATTTGTGAGTGTAGCCTACTTGCTTAGACACATGTGCTGGAAAAACATGTTGGCAATGTTAAAAAGGCAAAAGTTAACACTGTTGGTTATTCAAATATAATAAATCATTATTTGATTGATAATATCCAAAATAACAATATCTGGTAGGAGGGTTAAACTTGCTAGCCATAGGATAGACTACAAAATTAATTAACCATTTTGTATGCAGGAAAGACAGCATCAAACCACAACAGATTTACATTTATTCATTTAGCAGACACTTTTTATCCAACGACTTACAATTGAGAACAATAGAAATGACAAAGGAAATCACCATTAAAGCACTGTTACTTATCTTACAACAAAATAATTCCCGGCTGGGGGGGGGGGGGGGGGGGGGGATTGGGATTGGGGGCGGGGGATGTCCCCACCAAAGCTGAGACCAAACCTACGCCCATGGTTTTCACGCAACCACTGCTTTCTTCAAATTCCACCAAATATTTTCAATGAGATTTAAATCTATAGACTGCACAAGCCACTCGAGAACATTCTATGACTGATCCCTGAACCAAGCTTTAGTAGATGTATACTTTGAGATGGCTGTCCTGCAGGAAATTACATTTATCATAAAGCTTCAGTTTCTGCACCGAAGGCATCCCCATCTTTGCCAAAATGGCTTGATGCTTCAAAGAATTCATGATGTCCTTCATACAGTCAAGATTTCCACTTCCTGCAACAGCAAAGCACCCCCAAAACATGACTGGACCACCTCCATGTTTGACCATGGAGATGGAGTTCTTCTGCTCATAAGCTTTGCCTTTTTGCACCAGATATATCAATGAACCATGGGTCCAAAAAGTTCCAGTTTGGTCACATCACTCCATAAAACATTCTTCAAGAACTCCACAGGTCTATCCAAATGAATGTAAGCATATTCAAGTCGGCCTTTTATGTGCTGCTTGGTCAAGAGTGGCATGAGGCAAGATGTCCCAACATGCTTGTCTAGTGTTCTTCTTATACTCTGCATTAAATTGTTTTTTCCTCCTTTCATCGGGTCATCCTGCCATTGAGGGTTTTTCTCAGTTGCTCTTATCAATCATTTTATTCCCCTTAATGATATTGTGCTTTTTCTTTAACACCCTCAACGTTTTTTTGGTACAACAAATTTTAAACAGCTGTGTCTCTAGGAACTTTTAGTGTTTTGGAAATTTTCTTGTAGCCATAGACTTTCTAATGTAATAAAACAATTTGTTCTCTATAGCTTTTGTGAGAGCTCTTTTGACATGGCCATATTTGCCACTCAGCTACCACATGCATGGGCTTAATGTGTAACAGCACAAGCTAATTCTATTTTGTTATAGAGTTTCCAAAAGCTTAATTGTGTTTTAACACAATTGTGTACAATACAAATAAGTGACTTAAAAACAGCAGCGTTGAATAATTATGACATAGCTATATTACAAAAGAAATCCTATAACTCAAAAGAATTACATTATATATATTCACATTATCACTTTTATTCTGCCACTAAACTGTTTTAGGATTATATAACTTTTATATTGCAATTTTATTTAAAAACACTATCTTTAGAAAAGCTTACATTTGTAAATTGTTACATTCTCCGGGGGGTTGAATCAATTTGATTGCAACTGTGCATTCATGCTCTCAGATATAACCATTCCTATATGTTTGGTGTGTCACTTCTAACATTAAATCGCTCAGTCAATAGAACACTGTTGGCCTCACCAGCTGCTAAAGACTCCTTCAACGGCCTGCTGGCTCGTGCTCCAGCACGCCGGACCCTCATAGCGGCAGTCTCTCCCCCCACAGGCCAGAAGACAGATGATCTTAGGAGGAACAGCCTTCACCAGACTCTCCCTGGCCTGAGAATATGATGGTCTGGGCACTGGAACTTGTGAAATCATGGAGGACAGGAGAGGAAAGGAGGGAAACTAACAGCAAATGACTGCTTCTATATGCACTAATGGCTTAAAATGTAGCAGGCCATTATGTGGATTTGCTGTGCTTTGGAAAGTCAGCTGAGGAATAGTATAGACGGGAATACAGACAGAAAACATGAACAAAACTGTCAGTTTCCTCCTACTATATACTAACAAGACAAGAAATTAATTAAAATAAGAGAAGAGCAGTCAAGCTAATACACTATAATCACTGCACCGCCGCCATGTTAGCTGACCCACATTTTAAGCCCGATGAATTATCTCCAGCTCCGAGCTTCTTTTTTTTTATACCATTTTGACAGTCAAAAAAAAAAAAACCTGACTTACCCATGTGGCTCCATCCAAAGAAAGAGTTAAATGTGAGAGGCGTACATGGAGACGTTATTACAAACATGTAGAGAGAATGCAACATGGCTATACTGCATACATGTTCATGCCTCAAAGCTGACCCAGCGATTGGCTTCTAATCCTTATTAAGTGTCATAAACACATTAGTGGATAGACATTCACGATTCGTATTAAGTCTAATTATATAAGGGTCCAGCAGTCTGATACAATAATATATACCAAACCACTAGAAATATTTTCTCATGTGCATTTTGCTTAATCAAAGGAACTTTTGAAAACAATTGGAAAGTTTTCTTTGGTCTGAATTAAGTTAACCTTACAGAAAAGTTTATTCATGTGTGCTATTAATAGACTTCTTATATATACTAAAAATAAGAAAGTATACTTTGTCTATTTTTATATACTTCTCATAAATATACTTGTACTTAAAGTATACTTAATAAAATGAACTTGAATTATATTTATTTTCTGTAAGGATACTCTTACAAAAAAAATAAGCATACTTCAAATTAATTTTATCAAGTATACTTAAGTAAAGTTCAAGTACATTTTTAAGTATACTTTATGTAGTAAGTATACTAATAATATCAATTTACTAGTAGTAAACTTGTAAGTGTACTATTTCAATACTGCTTGGGATTAATTGTCCCACTCTTTAGTATAAAAGTATACGTTTAAGTGTAATAAGTGTAACAGTTGTAAACTTTAAGTGCACAACTAGTTCATAACTGTTTCTCATTGTACTGCACCTGTACAAGTGAACTTAAAATTATAGTTTACTATTTTAATACTTTTAGTATATTTTTTTAGTTTATGAAAGTAGACTTTGAAGTATACCCTCAGTAAACTACAAGTTTAGTGGTTTTATACTGCAAGTATACTTGTAAGTTTTCTTTAGTGAACATAACATTATAGTTTACTATTGTATTAATATATTATTTTTGGACTTTAAGTATACTAATGTTCCTATTTAGGTATTCTTTTTTTATACTTGAAATACATATCTTTAACTGTACTTTTAACTCTTTCCATTTAAAAAAATATTTTATTCTAGCTTCATGCTTCCTTTTTTTTTATCAACACTTGAATGTGGGTAAGTTTAATTTAAAAAGCAAAACTTTACACAAATAGCTGACACGTTTCAGCTTTTCAAACTTTTCAGCAAAAGACTGCACTCGGACCAGATGTCGATGATCAAAAACATAGATGGAGAAACGCCTGTGTTTTCTTCGCCTGTGTTTTGATCCGGAGATTCTGTACTAGAAGATGCGTATTAGCAGTAGCCTAACAGTGAAAACATGGAAGGCCGAAAATTCAGTGGGGAAAGAAGAGTGAAGTAGATTTGAAGTTGTCCACTGACAGTTGGCTAGCCTACACAAAAATTAGGCTACTCATAATTAGGAACATGTTTGTTTGTATTACATCTTTATACTTGTATTAGTTTCATACAATGTAAGTTTATAAAACTATATAAAACTATGTGGAAAAAATAATTTAGTAGGCTACTCAAACAAAAGAGTAAACACAACTAAGCTAAGTATACTTAATTATACTTTAAATAGGTAATATAAAAAAGATATTTAAGTATATCTCGATCAAAAGATTGAGTACATGTATAGTCCAAATAAACTTCTCTGTCAGTAAGTCAGGTATATTTAAGTGTAATTTTAAGTTTATTGAGAAGTACATAAAAAGCAGACTGAAAGTATACTTTCTTATTTTTAGTTTAAAAGAAGTATACTAATAATAAACTTCTTTTTCGTAAATGAATGCTAAATGCAGCCAAATAAATGAGTCCAAAGCAATGAGACAAGTAAAAAAACACACACAAACTAGACTTTTTTTCTTTTTCTTTTTTACAACATACTTTATTTAGGGGAAGTTTCCGTGTAGCTCATTAGACTGTTATGCATTCAGGCAGACAAATGCACAGAAATCCATCTGCAATCATGATATTTTGAAGAACATCATTGTAAAAACTAAATGTATAACTTTCTAGTGATTCCTTGCCACACAACCAATCTAATTAGTGCTCAATAGGATTTGAGGGCCTCTGATGTTGTGTCACATCTATTAGGCTTCATTTCGGGGCTAGACCTGTATAGGTCCTTTGAATAGGACCATGTTCTGTATGAGATCATATCTCATTACAGGTACGTTACATATGTTGTGTAACTTTTGTTCAACAGCACTGCAATAACACCTGTGCGTGAGATTTAGCAGTGTGTCATATTGTGTAGTGTAAGTAAGGTATCTGAACCAGTGGATTCAACGAAGTCAGCACAACTTGCAGAACCGTTGTGCCTGTGAACCCTATCCTGGTGAACATGTCATCTCGCTATTAGCATGCTCTCTATAGCCAAGTGCCGTTGACGTGGCATCAAGTGAGAAAAAAATAATAATAATAAAACAGTGGGCTTTTACCCCTGACCCTGATCCGCTGCTCCAGAAACCTTCTGTTAGTTATACTGGAGAGCTTTGAATCAAGCAGCCATAGTCTGAATATATCCTTACAACAAACACACCTGGGCTTCAAAGGGGCATTGACCTCCCAAATGTGAGCAACATAGTACATCCATTGGTACATTTTCAAAATGCCCATCCAGCCCATCTCTGTTTGTATTTTAATGGATGTTTGACTACTGTAGACCTGTTGCAGAAACAGTCAGTCCTGCTGAAAGAACTTGGAGTCATGTGCGTTGCTCAATGGCACAATGGTGATTGAGGACGATTGTGATGACAGAAATAGCTGGCTCACATCTTCCAACCTCTGGAACAGCAGCTCTTTAACCATCAGGTTATCACCTCTCCATGTATATTTCATTCTTCTCTCCATGGTTTCTTCAGGGTTGCACAAAACAGACACAAAAGCAGAGCCAGTCTGAAGAAAAGCAATGGTGCTGCCACTGCACAGCGGGTAAGTTGCGAGGTCCATCGTTCCTATGGAGGATCATGGTCTACGTGTCAGGTTTGCCATGGACACACATGGCGCGGGAGGTGCTTGGGTTGTGACATTTGTCACAAAAGAAGCTGTGTGTTTCTTTGGCTGCTGCTTGCTTGTATCAGCAAGCACACACAGTTCATGGATCCAGCGTACTATTGGGTCTTTCTCAACACTGGCTGCATCAAGGTCTGAAGCAGTTGCCTACCCTTGGCGGCAGACAATTACTCCAGCACCTCCATCATCTTCATCATCATCTTCGTCATCATCCCCTTCATCACTCCCCTCGGAAAAGATCTGTTGACACAGGACAAACACTGTTGCTTAGATAAATACCATGTAAAAAAAATTGTTCACTCAACTTAATGGTACACTATGTAACTTTTGGCGCATTAGTGGTTAATAAACTGCATGCGTTTTGCGGAAGAACATTGTAGCCAGAGCTATAATTTGTCTAGTCCGCAGGTGCGCTACTCCGCAGCAGTTGTCGTCCCGCCCGGTCTAAAATAGTCAGAATATAAACACTTATTATAGGCGTACTAAAAAAAGTTACATGTACCTTTAACTTATAGTTATTATTTTGCTTTGCCTTAGTTACGTTGTATGTGCTTAGAATATTACGTTGTATGTGCTTAGAATATTAAGTATTTTTAACTTGACAAGTTATTGCCAAATCTGGCAGCCTCCCCTCCATATATACATACAGTACCTGATTATAGGCCTATACAGAGAGAGCAAGGACAGTAAGTTTCATATAGCACATGATAGACAGTGAACTCAAAACAAACATGAACTATGAGTTTAAGATGCTGCACACAAACAAAGGATTAATATATATAATGTAGTTCAAATGCATATGTATATGTTATAATAGGCTATTACAGCGGCAACTATAGTGTCAATTATTCCAACAAGACTATTTGTAAAGACAATGTGTAAAAGACATCATATCTAAAACCACACGTTGTGTGATTCAAAATGGTTGCTGAAGTGGAAAAGTTAGGCTACTTTATAATATAGTTTAGAAAAAAGCAAAATCCTACTAGGCTACACCTCTAACATAAACAGCATTGCACATCACTTCAAAAGTCATGTATTCGATTAATTCACAGGTTAGCAAAAATATTAACAACAAACCATAAAGCTTACCATTCTGTTGATTTGTTTAAGCTTCAGAGCAGCGTAGTGCAGTTCATGCAGAAATAGATATTCCTCCGTTATTTATAGTCTTTCTCCAGAAAACGGATCACACCTCACCAGAGAACCAGCAGCCAATCCGGTGCAGCCACATTACATTCGATGTTTTCACAGAAACGAAACTTTGCTTGTGAGGGAGTTTCTGAATCATGTGAGTTATCACATAACAATTCAGAACAAGGCTGTAGGCTATTATTATTATGTAAGATAAGCAAAGACGGTCACAGTGTCTGGTTTGTGTTTCCCCGGGTGTCCACTAGAGGTCTCTTCCCCATACTGTCACCATTCACTCTGGAACTGCATTACCCACAATCCTTGACCGTACCAATCACTGTTCATTGCACTCAGCTGTTCCCCGTCGTCATGGTACCCAGCTTTTTCCTGTTATACATTGTTTAGTTCTGTGTATAAATACCCTGTCTGTTTCTGTCCTTGTTATGGAGTCATTGTATATGGTCACCACACTTCTGAGTTCTGTGATCCTTGCCTGTTTCTTGTTTTGTTTATTTGGATTTGGATTGCTAACATGGACTTTGAACCTTGCCTGGATGACTACGAGATGGATTACGCTTCAATAAACACCTACTGCCATACTGCATTTGCGTGTCCCCGTGACAAAGACAGTCTTGTTGACATTATAAGAAACTATGAGAGCAATTAAGATTCTATTCTGTCGCACCTTAATCCTATAGGGCCTAACACACCCTTTTAGATAAACACATTCCCTACAGAGGTGAGTGAACAACACAAAACATTTACATTTTACATTTATTAATTTAGCAAACAATTTTTATTTATTTATTTTCTTCAGGCAATGGCACAGAAAGTACAAGGCAGACAACAAATATTGTTAAGTCATACAGTGCAAAAAAGAAACAAAAAAAACAAAAACAGAACATACAGTATTTAACTGACAATCGAATTCTGCCTGAAAGGGAGTGGGAAGAAGACAACTTATTTAATCCCACCCCAGTTCCCCATTTGGTGATTAATACATTGAGCTTCATTGTTACTTTGGTCACGGATTGTTTACATATGTTGTATCATGGTGGCGTTACCACAGTAACAAGTATTTATTATAACAACAGTACCAACAATTTAAGAAGAATAAACAATGCCAACAATGGTAATGGACAATACAATACCAACGATGGTAATGGACAATA